CAACATTTTCTATAATCCATCTTTGAAATTCAACTTGATACTCCAAGTAGAACTATGTGAAAAATGGCCAAGAAGATAGGTCAAAATCCTGCCTAAACTAGGGCAAAATTTCCCTAAGTTAAAAGTTTTAGGGACCCTTGTTCCAAAAATCATAACTTGAGATCCAATCTTCTTTTGAGGAAACTTTGTGAATCAAAGTTGTAGACTTTGTGGAGGACTACAACTTTAATGTTTTAAGTTATGTTTGAATCCATTTGCATCATGGTGAAAATGTGGGACAAAGTTAGGAAAAATTAAGAAAATTTCATAACTTAGAAAAATTCTAAGTTATGAAAATTTTCAATTTCAAACCCTAATTTGCAATTTTGGGTTTCTTGATGAACAAGTTTCATAATTTGACACATCTTGATGAAAAATGACCCTTGGAACTTGATTTTGACCAAAAAGTCAAAGTTTGACTTTTCAGTGTACAGTCAAATTTTGATCAGTTGACTGAAAAATTCATCTGTCAATCCCATGCATTTGAGATCTTTTGAACTTGTTGAATAAGTCACGATGATTCCATTGAGTCCTTGAGTCCATGGTTGAACCTAATTTGCCATTGGTTAGGTCAAAAAGTCAGAAATTGCCTTTATACAGTCAAAACCTTAAAAATGACCATTTTCCCCTTTTGGTGATCTGATCAAATTTCTTGTGGAATTTGTGGTCCAAACTTGATCCAATGATTCATATGAGTTCATAATGTTGATGTGGGTAAAAATGCATGAGGTTTGACTGTAAATTGGCCACAGTTGACTTTTTCCCCAATACAGATGATTTCTAGGTCAACTGTCCAATTGACTGGGCAAAAATTTGATTCAAGGCTTGAAACTTTGTATGGAAAAACTTATGAGTCCAAAAAGAAGTATGAAAGTCAATTTGAGCATTGAAGGTCCAAAAATCCTTGTGCAAACTCAAACCCTAATTTAGGTCATCAGTGCAAGGAGTTGTCTTGAGCAAAGCAAACCCTAGCTTGATCTTGAGTTCCAAGAGCCTTGTGATGAGAAATGTTGATAAAATGAGAGGGCAAATTTTGGGGTACAACAGATAACAAACATTTGCAATGGCGAAACATCAACTTCAGACAAATGTGCGATGGCGAAACATCGGCTAGTCAGGTTTAAAAATAATGCCAAGAGGCGCACAGACAAATAAGATTGGTTGGTATCTTTTACCTTGAAGAAGGGTTTGAATTTTATTAGAGGTGTTTTATGATTTTCCAAGAAAACAGTTTTTTATTTTAAGATGCAGAATGAAAAGGAAGGAAAAACAACTAAGGGAAACTAGCCTAGAACTATCCCTAGTATTATCATACAATGATTGACCCTAAGGTTGAGGATAAAGGAAAATCCTAACCTATGTTAGCATACATGGATTCCTACCTTAATCAACATGTCAAAAGAAGCTTAACAAAACTATCCTATAGGGAACATGCAATGAGAGCAATGTCGTGATCTCAATTTCTAAATTGAGTGACTCATCGATCAACAATTAAAGAAGAAAAACCATAAACTTCCTATAGGGAACATGCACTGAGAGCGAAGTCGTGATCTCAATTTCTAAATTGAGTGACTCATCGATCAACAATTAAAGAAGAAAAACAATAAACATCCTATAGGAAACATGCACTGAGAGCGAAGTCGTGATCTCAATTTCTAAATTGAGTGACTCATCGATCAAAAGCAAACACAACACATTCATCAAACAAAAACAGAGGGCCTCCTAACATGTATCAGCAATAGAGGCCCCATCATGCAACATAGAACTATGCAAATAGAAGAAAGGAAATAGTGCAATACCAAACGAATAACTATCCGTAGCAACTGAGCAAGAATAAAAGAAACCCAGAGAACTTCAAGCAAGCTGGAATCAGCAGACAAATCAAGTCAGAAATTACGCCATCAGGATGTAAATAATGAGGTTATCAGATATGAACAGATCCTATGGGCAATGCATGGCATTCATAATCACATATACATATATCCTGCATAAACTATCAAACATGCCAAGCACAAGAGTAGTGCCAATATAATAAACTGTGTTCCACAAGTAAAGTGAAACACAATAGCCTCAAACCAAAAATGGAAACATTCCTCAAAGTACCTCGCACATTTAACAACCAAGTTAGTATTCCATAAAGTGAATGATGACTCACATAAGGGATGGATGAAACATGATGAAGTGAGAAAAACATGATAACAATTATCAAAGCATTAGGCATAGTAGACCAAAAGAAACAGGCATTGGGTCAAACAAAAATAGAGGAATGTTGCTCCTTTCTATCACCATGTTGAATTGGCAATTAAATATCAATCAAGGATCATGGGAGATTAGGAAGAATAAAATCAAAGAACATGAAGGTCAGTAGCAACCACAATTCAATCATGCATAATTAATTCATCACAGCTCACAAGCATAATAAAAGGGAAATCTCACACAATGCATCAAAAGGCTCAATCATTCAAACATAGGGCATTAGGTGAAATGACTTGGGTTAATTTGGATGAAAACATCCAACATGATCATTAGGTGCCCAATTATAGGTCTCACTCAAGCTCATTGGCCATCAAACAAATTGAAACAAGATATGCAACATTAATTGGGTACCTTCACTTCAAAAATGCATCAAAAATAGAAACAAGGATCAATAAATCCAATTAAAAATATTAACATCTTTGAAGTGTGTAGAAGTCAGACAGTAAGTCCTAGATTCATGAATGGTTGAGGAGGATATCAAATGAGGCCCAAAGTTCAAAACTAGTTGGCCAAACTAACAAAACTAGACAAGTTTTCAAAATAATTCATGGAAAAATATCAAACCAAGTCAAATAATTCAAGAAAAATGGTTTTCATACCCTCAATGCATTCATGAATCATAATCAAGACCTAAGTTCCACTTAAAAATCCAGGGCATAGTAGTTTTGAAAAAGAAACTTGCACAATAAGCAACAAAACCCTAATTTTTGACTTTTAATCTTAAATATTGATTAGGTAAGATCAAAATTCAAACAATTCAAACCAAGATCATGCAAATCACAAGGAAACCCTAAATGTCAGAATACATATTTTTTTAAATATTTTTTTAATTAAAGAAAGGTCAAAAATAAAATCAAATCAAACAATTAATCAATTAATCAAATAATCACATCTCAAAATAAAATTCTAATCAAAAATCAGAAAAAATAATCAACCAAAATTATATTCAAATATTAGAATTAAAAACACACATCCCTGATTTTTTTGTGGAATTTTTGAATTAAGGGAAATATTAAAATAAAAATCAAACAAACAATTAACAATTAAACTATTATTTATTGGCACAAATGTAAACCCTAGGCAAAAGTCACAAAAAAGGTCAAAATAAAAATATATTCTGATTCCATGATTAAAAACAAGTCTGCATGATTTTTTTGAGGATTTTTGAATTAATGGAAGTATAAAAATGAAAATTATAAAGCAAAAATTCAAAATAAACTTCTCAAATTAAATTCATAATCAAAAATAGAAAAAATGCTAAAAAAGATTTAGAATCAAATTCTACATTATTTTATGAGTCCAAAATATTTTTGTGGAATTTTTAGATCAAAGGAACTTTTAAAATAAAAATAATCTTTGATCAAAATAATTAATTAAACCTATGAATTTCTAAACCAATTAAATCATTTTAAAAAATTCCAATAAAATTACAAAAAATAGTAGAAATTATTTTGAACTTGTGATAGTTTTTTCAAAAATTTTCAAATTGTTTTGATCAAGTAACAAAAATTAGAAAATCAATTGAAATTTAAATAACAAAAACAAGAACAAGGCCAATGAGATGATGCCACACATCATCTTCAACCTCCAGCCCAGGCAAAACACTCGCTTCCATCAGTTCCAATATGCTCACTTCAAATCCATTAAACAAACACGATTCTCAACCAAAATCCATGAGATTAAGCTCAAATTAAAGCTAACATATCATACTACATACTACAAGAAAAATGATAGATTGGGACGGTTATTTTGGCTGATTACGACGGTTAAAACCGTCGCAATTTACAATCTACGACGGTAGAAGTACCGTCGCAGAATCGTGCGTCCCCAGCCTATTTCGCGACGGTTGCAAAAACTGTCACGCACAACAGATAGCGACGGTTATATACCGTCGTGAATTTGACTTTATTTTTTGTTTTTGTTGTTGTTTGCGACGGTTACTCTACCGTCGTAGGTTAGAAATTGCGGCGGTTTTAACCGTCGTAATCTGATTTATAAATTTCAAATAATATTTTTATTTAAATTATTATTTAGTAAAATAATTTTAAATATAATATTATTTTACTATAATATTTTACTATAATATTTTACTATTATATTTAAATTATTATTTACTTTAATATTTTTTTATTTATAGTATTTTTATTTTATTTTCTATCACTTTTCAACATAATAAAGTTAATTACAATAAAAACATTTAATATCAAATAATCATCAATAATATCAAAAAAATGTGATCAAAGGTAAAAAGAAGTGCAAATTTTACCAATAAACAAGAAAAATTCAAATATCATCAAAGGCCAAATTTCATTTTAATATTTACATTGGTTTGCTACAACTTGAGAGAATTACAAAAAATGTTACAATATTCTACAAAATTACATAGATTCAGTCAATCACATAGATTCAAGTCAATTTAAATATCCACTTCACAAACCTAATCCCTCACATAACAATTTCTAACAACTTTAAGCTAACAGTTATCCATTTCAATTGATATTCCTAACAGTCAGGCCCTAATAATATTGACGATTTTAACTCTTTTTCACACTAACAATTAGCTAACTCAAATTACAATCAGCAACTAACTCTCAGTTTCATTCAAATCTAAAGCCATCCCATCCTAATAGCCAACTATACACAACCTCTCTACAATATTCTACACAGCTTCGTCAACCTTCATCATCAATGGCATCATCGCGACTTCAAGCTTGAAGCATTCCCTCTATTTCAACACCAATCACAACAACAAACTTCAATAATTGAATTGTACCGAATCAATAGAAAATACGTGTGAATCGGAAATAATAGAAGAATGAGGAATTAAGAATGCATACCTGAATCACGATTGAAGCGTTGGCGGAGTGACTCCGACGTGTAAGTATTCTTTCTTCTCTCATCATTTTTGTGATGAACTCCACTAATCAAATTAACCTCATTGAAGAAATGATCCACCCATTGCGTCGAGTTAAAACTAAGCCTTTTAACAGCCACAGTATTACCATCTGGCATAACTCCCTAAAATGAAAGGAAAAATCTATAAGCACTTAACAACAATAAGGTTGTAAGAAGTTACAATAAGATAAGATCAGAATATACTTTATAAACTGAACCTGATCCTCCTTGTCCTAGCTTATTGTCATCATTGAAGTAATTTGTTGCTTTTTCAAGAATTTCATATGGAACATTTAGCTTGGATTTATTCACTGTATCCAAAAGTGTCCCAAATTGTTTTCTCTCTAGTAAAAAAACACACACACATAGCAATAACTTTTAGCACAAGTATTTTGGAAAAAAGTAATTCCAGTCTTTAAATATTAAACATGTGTACCTCTTCTTTTCCTCATTACATTCTTTCTTATAAAGAAACCCATTGTTGCAGTAACCAAAAGAAGAGCCAAGACAGCAGAAGATGCAGCCAATATTATAGCCATTTTTCGGTGTCCTAAAACACAGTTTCAAGCTTCAATCATGTTCTTATCATAATACTGACCATGGTTATAAATTGCGGTCCGCAACGCAATTGCGGCTGTAATATTGCTAATGCAGTAGCTTCCACAACCGTATTGGACTGCAATTGCAGTGTGATTTAAAACCACGCGTCCGACTATATTATGAACCGCATCTAACAATGTCGCTCAAGTTTTATCACAAAATGTCGCATCTTCACTTTCTTCTTTTTTCTTCTTTTTATCTTTACCCTCTTCCGCCTAAATGTGAAGAATCGTCAACATAGAATTTCACTAGATAAAATGTAGGTAAGCCAACAATGTAAATCAAACAAGAAAATATTTCCTGCTAAAACTAATGAGTTAACCCTGCCTTGTTAACAAGAAAAAATAAAGGAAAGAATTGTAGGCATAGGTTCTCTACCAGGAACTTTTTCTCTAGTTCTTCAAAGAATGCCAGTTTTTTCGCATCTGCCACACAAATATCTTAATCAGTATAAAGTAAAAATAACAAGGCTTCATCATTATTATGAGTAAAACAGAGATTCATATCATAACTAGACTAACATTTACAGATAATTAATAGATTGATAAAATAAAAAGAAAAAGTTCATAAGAAATCACCAGCTTCAGGGTTCCATCGAAACTTTTTCCGGCTCAGCATCTGCTTAGATTTACCTGAAATCAACTTTCGGACTAAATTACTTGTTACCAGGAACCGCAAATGCATAACGAAAAGTAGAAGCATTTTTATACAATAAAATAAAAACACAACCACTGCCTTAAAAGCCTATCCCATTATTCACACCTGGAACCAACTCCTTAACAAATTCGTCGTAATATAAAACCTGAGACAGCGAATCACGAGTGAACGCGATCTTCTTCTTGTCAGAAAATCTTTCTACGTGCATCCTTTTGCGCCCTGACAATGAAACAATATGTATTGGAAATCTCAGATTTTGTAATGACAATCTGCCAATATGTATCATGTAAAGGCAATTGAATTCGAACCTTTTGATTCGGTGTCGTCCAAGAGATTCGGTGCAGTGGTAGAAAGAAAGCTTACTACTACATGCTGAAATGAGGTTGAGGTTGTGAACATTGATTGTGAAGGGACTTAGTCAGGTTTCAACATGAACACGGGTTCTGATAGGCTTTAGCTTAATTCCTAAACTTTCTTGAGAGAGGAGTTCTGGTGACATGATTGAATGATTAGAGGGGCTTGCTGGACTTGAACCGTTGCTTGATGAGGAAGCAAAATGTGGTTGTCTGTGGAAGCCAAAACCCATTAAGAAACACTCAATTGGTACTATCATGGAGTTTGGGTGTTCTTCTGTTACTAGTGAGCCACAAGCCTCAACCTGATCAAGTGAGGTTTGTAAAGCAATTGTGTTATGTTTATGTGTTATTTGAGTATCTTATGTAATTTCATATTTAATGGACATGGATTACGACGGTACCTCAACAAGTGCACAGATTTTGCTGTCCATTTTTGTACTCATGTGAATAGACTCGGCATGGAATGGACTACTCTCTCCTGCAAATATAAGTGTCTTGCATTGCAAGTTCTTTAGTCCCTCACTGAGGTCGCGCCTTCTGCAAGTATTTCAACATTTTGGTAATGAATCATGGGAACAAATGATCATAAGTAAGTTGCTAAAGTTTTAAATTTTCCACATTTTATTGGCATCATCCCTTTGTCATCTTTGTATATTTTATGTCATTTTAGTCCACTCCCAAAATCAAACAAGTTTATAATCCACAAGCTAGAATTTGGTCCACTCATACAATAATAAGAGTCAACTGTGTGCAATAATAACTATTATAAGAGGCATTCTAAGTATAGAAAAGAATTTTCAAACAAGACAGAAAACGTTAACATCAAATATCTTGAGAATATTTAAGTTGTTATCAATAATTAACCATGAGAACAATTGATAATTAAGTTCCTTAAGTTTTAAATCTTCATTGCCATTATCCAAGTTGCATTATCTCTGTTTGTTGTCTTTTTACATTTCATGCCATATTAGTCCGCCCAAAATCCATATCAAGTCCATAGCCACAAGTTAGAATTTGGTTTCACTTATAAAATAATGCGCTTATAAGTGTAGAAAGAATTTGCAACACAAATGCCGCAATTAGACAACTAGGGGCAGGACAAAAATGTCCAACTAGTCAACTAGAGGTTGGAATGAAGGCAAGCCAAATGTCGCAATTAGACTAGGGCGAACCACAATAAAGGTGGAATATCCAAAACACCCCCTCGTGCTTGGGTCTCGATGAGAGGCTGAAACACGAATGATGCAGAAAGCCCAACAACATATCCAAAACATCTTATGAAATATGGTTGGACTTAACTCAATCTTACAAAATCGGCTTGTACGGCGAGGGTTGTCCCAACATATGTGATATCTCTAAGTAATATGAGACTAAATTCACCCCTTAAAAGCCGACACAATGTAGGTGTTGGAGGGTGCAATGAAAGCAACACACATGCCACAATTAGGTGACTTGGGGCGGACAGCAAAGAAGGCGGAATTTCCAACAGTATGAATGTTGACATTGAATTCTCGAGAATATTGAGGTTACCATCAATAAAAACAGGATTGAGACAGTTACACTGTTGTATGAAATGGCTTAGATAGATTAAAAATTTGGAGGGAGGAGTGAAGTTTGTAAAAAACATCATTACTTACGCATTAACTGCTTGAAGAAAACGCATGACATTTAAACTTTGCCTTTCATCCAGAAGCTGCAATTATAGAACAGAAAAGAGAATCTTCAAATCAGAATTGTACACATACAAAATTATCCTAATTGCCAAGTTAATTAGGCATTTTCTGAGTAGAGTTTTACATACTCTTCGGCAAGTTAGTATTACTTCTGATTCTGATCCCTCAATACTGCATCTAAGCTCCTATAAAAGATGTAGAGAAGTAATGTCACCTCCAGAAATGATTCTACCTGCATAGTACCTGATAAAGAATGAGAAGAATACCTTACTGAAGTAACGTTGCAGGAGGCATTCCTTCAGTAAACCGCACATACCATAGAAGTACAATAAGTTCATCAAGACCTACATATATGTAGAAAACCTGTAAACATTCTATTTCAAGGGATCATTTTACAAGTTTTATATTGTTTTGTTGTATGCTAAAGGCGTTTAGAATCACAGTTAGATGGCTTTTAAAGTGCGGTCAACTAAACAGCTGCAGCTTCGAAGTCAACTCACAATGTTACTGTGGAAACAATGATTTTCAAACACACACGATAAATAGTTTGGCACATTACTACTTTCCTTGATATAGTTGTTGGAATTTCAATTTCAAAAGATAACTTATGATAAAAGCATGAAGGCTGAGAGGAAACCTTGTTGTAAATCCATTCAGTCCATGAAGGTCCTTTACAAATCGGTGAAACAAGAATCAATCCAAGCACTCGTTCTTTGTATTTCATCTGCCAAGTGATGAAAAAATTAACACGATGGTTTACTATATTAGATTGTTGAACATGAAACTCATAAAACTATAACTCAGCTCAGAGTTACTAACTTACAGCAAATAGTGTGAGGATGTAAGCACCGGCTGTTACACCCATGCACATAACCTCTCTTAGCCTGATTCATGACAGTTTCGTATGAAAGTTAAAATCATAATCCAAATAAGTCTATCATAAGGCCAGTTTCATTAGTGAATATTTACTCAGTTCCCTTAGTTCAATATAGAATCGGTGAATAGCGAATGTTATGCTTACCCGAAAAAATCAAGCACTTCTGCAACCTGATCAGCTAGGTCATCCACACAAAGCAAAGGTTCATCCGAAGAAATCACATCAGCTCCCAACTGCAATATCTCTTAAACAAATGAGAAAAAATTGATGTGAATTCAATGAAATTGAAGCTAGCATGTACAATAACACTAGAAAGAATCCGTATACTAACCTCATGCCCTGGAGCATCAATGTGATAAATACAGAAGTTACGAAGCATCAAAGAAGCTGCTTCTGGACAAAACAACAGACCCTGAAAACAAGACACATCTGCAAAAAAACACTCCATGATTTCAAAAACCATATCCATAGTGATTCCAAACACATAAACAAAGCACCAAACATCTAAAACTAACAATCTGGTGTTGAAATTCCCTCATACACATCAAAATCAAACCAAAATGAGCAACAAGTACAAAATCATACAATTGAGAGCCACATCTGGGTAAGTTATTAGAGCAGGTTTATCTCGATCCCCACAAAGTGAAATATCAAAGATGGAGAGGAAGATGATGAAGAGAATGGCAGAGAATGGCATCAGGTTTAAAACCCCTGTCAACCATGCGCTTAAGAAAGCGGAGAGCTCGATTGTACTTAGCTGATTTGAATGACCTAATGAGAGCTTCATCGTAATCTTGATCAAGTTTTGGCCTTGTTTCATTGACCCTGATTCTTGTTCTTCGGTTGTTGGTGTTGCCCGGGGTTGAGGAAGTGACGATAGTGTTGGGATTTGAACGGCGAGAAGTGCGGTTTGGATGGTTTCTGAAATTGAGAGTGTGTGATAAGAATTCAGTTGAAAAGGTTGTCATTGATGATGATGATGATGTTATCGGTTGTTGTTGGAAGATTTATGGCTTGAGTTTGGACAAAATTCAGTATCATAGAATGGATAAGGGATGATACATATTTTATCCTAACCAAATATTATCCTAAAAAATCATTAAAAAAAATAAAACCCTAAAACAACAAATTAGAAAACCTAACATCAATTCAATATATTCAAACTCAAATGAAAGGTTTAAGGGTGCGACGGTTGTTTTACCGTCGTGAAATGAATTTTAGGACGGATAATTTTACCGTCGTGAAAGTTTTAAGGGTGCGACGGATGCTTTACCGTCGTGATATGCCTTTTAGGACGGTTAATTTTACCGTCGTGACTAGTTGTTGGTGAAAATCAATGTTAAAAGTGTTAAATGGGGGCCGACGGTTGTTTTACCGTCGTAATAATAATATTATGATGGTTAAATATACCGTCGCAAAATAAATATTAGGGACGGTTGGTGTCAACTGTCGTAAACACTGTCTCTATATGTCAATTACGACAGTTATCACATAACTGTCGCAATTTTTGTGTCGTTAAACACTAATTTTCTTGTAGTCATGCAATTCGAATCAAACTCAGAGATCAAGCATAGGTCAAGAAATCAAATCTCAAAAACTAGAAAAACACGCTGCAAACATCAAAACCAGAAACACGATTTCACAAAATCTGCTTGAATCAGAGCTCAAATATACATCAATCATAATGATTGGCCAGCTATAAACACAATGCACACCACAAAACACTTCAATTCATGCTCAAATCAAGGTTCAGATTCAGTGAGCATACCTACAAAAATGAAAAATAAATTCACTTGGTGCCTCTGAAATCTAACAAGAAACCCTTCCAAATAGCTTCCTTGTGCTCCAATGAAGGTGTTTGAGTAGAGAAATGAGGACTGGATCAAGAGAATTGAGCTGCTCAATTCAAGTTGCAGAGCAAGAAAAGTGAGAAAATTATGAGGAGCTTCTTCCAATGCAGTGCGGCTGTCCGTGAAAGGAGAGCTTGAGAAGCTTATATAGAGTGTTTGGAGTGAGGTTAAAGTGGTAATTCAAGCTGAGAGTCGTTGGATGGAAAAAGTGAATTTTCTATCAAACCAAAACAAGTGTGATGGCCATTTGTGTTTTGCTTGGTATTCAGGCAATGCTTGCAGTCGTTTTGAGCAACAAAAGGAGAGTGTGAGTGAGTGAAAAAAGCGTGATGAGGTGAGATGTCCTCTCTTGCACATGGGACTGATTTTCTTGAGTGAGAAGTTTCCCATTATGTCAAAAATGTGAAAATGAGAAAGGCACGAGGTATGCACCTGGTTTGGCCTTTTTTGGAAAGCACATGAGGTGTCCAATTCGTGCCAAGCATGTGCAAATGGACTCTGAAATGATTTAATCAAAACTGAACCAAAACTTGAAAATTGCCATGGCCAAGCATACACCAAAAATCAGCTGATTTCAAACTGAGGCCATTTCAAATTGGCTCGTGAATTTTCCAATTTTCTTTGAGCCAATTAAAATTCATAT